CTGTCCCCATCTTTCTTATAAGCCCCCTTTAAGTATTGAAAGGCTGCAATAAGATCTCCCCAGAGCCTTCTCTTCTCCAGGCTGAACAACCCCAACTCTCTCAGCCTTTCTTCATAGGAGAGGTGTTCCATCCCCCTGATCATTTTCGTGGCCCTCCTCTGGACCCGCTCCAACAGGTCTGTGTCTTTCTTATGCTGAGGGCTCCAGAGCTGGACACAGTACTGCAGGGGGGTCTCACCAGAGCAGAGGGGCATAATCACCTCCCTCGACCTGCTGGCCACGCTGCTTTGGATGCAGCCCAGGATATGATTTGCCTTCTGGGCTGCGAGCGCATATTGCTGGCTCATGTCTGGCTTTTCATCCACCAGTACCCCCAAGTCCTTCTCAGCAGGGCTGCTCTCAATCTCTTCATCCCCCAGCCTGTATTGATACCAGGGGCTGCCCTGACCCAGGTGCAGGACCCAGGTCCTGGAGTGCCTGTGCCTCCCCCCCCAGCAGCAGCAAACACCCATACAGTCACTCAGCAGAGAATGCTAGTGAGGCCTCTCCCACTTGGGGAACATTTGTGGTGTTTAAAAATTTCCCAGGTTTACTCAAATAATGAAAGCAAATTAAATTTAGCAGCCACCAAAAAGCCCCTGCAGCCCCACGTGAGCTCAGAGACTTGCTCTCAAGGCACCACAGTGTCCAGATGAGATCAGCAAGGCTCACTCAGGAGGTGCCACAAACACCTCATGGCTGCAGCACCTCAGCCCTGCAGTGGGAGCAGCCATGCTGCTGCTGCCCCTCCTTTCCTGCCAAACATACTGTGCAGATGAAGCACATGCTCCAACTCAGCAACGAGCCCCAGGCACCCTGCTCATCTCTCTCGCCTGCTGTGAGTGGCAAGACAGAAACTCTTTCCTCAGCCTCCATCCCTTCTTTCTGCATCACACATTTCCTTGAGGAAACACCTTTTCTTGACCCCTCTGGTCCCAGTTCTCCAAGTTTTCTCTGTATAATAACTATTGTCATTACCACTACTTCTGGTGGTGCAGACCCTGATTGCTAAGACACAGCCCACTATCTAACCCCACCTTGTGCTCCCACTTGTCATTCCACTGCTCTTCAAATTCTCATTCCTTTGAGGAAGGCACCCTGTTATCCTGCCACCTGAAACCTGCTCATCTGACTTCATGCTAAGACTGGCTGCACCATGAAAACAGACACCCTCAGGATGGTCAGTCTCCTGATGCTGATGCAGCATCTGCTTGTGACTCCCTAGCATCGAGGGCCCTGTTCCTTGCAACACATTTAATAGAAGAGCTGTGCCGAATGAACCAGCCACTGGGGCCCAGAGGCTACAAGCCCTACAGACATGATACATGTCATTGTCCACTGCCTTTTAAAGTCATCCTTCTCCCTGCAAAATACCTAGAACCTATTGTTGCTGGGCTCAGAATATTCAGGGGTCCCCCAGCTTAGGATACCAACAACCTGCCCAAATGGGCCTGTTCCCACCCTGAAAGAGTGCACAGTCCCCAGGACTGCTGTTGTTCTTCCTCAGGCCTTCATGACCTCTAACTGACTGTAACCCAGCACATGCTCTAGACTGCAGGACAGACTAGTGCCATCTAGTACTATGCCCTGCTGCAGAAGCCCATCTCAGCATCACTTTGCTTTGTGACTGTCACACTCCACAGTCTCAGCCACCCTATAAGGCCAAGAAAGGCAGCTTGCTGCCTCTTCTTCAGCAGAGGAAGGAAGCATTGGGCCCTCAGAGAGCTCTGCAGACCCTCTGCTTGTTTCAGAATCCAACTGGCAGTACCCCCAATGTTTCACGTTCATGATATTTCTGTAGCTCCCTCATTTTACCCCCATTCCTGCCTAAATGGACAGAGCAATGCAAGAGAAGCCTTTGCTACTTTTAGCTACTGGGCCATGGTTTCTTTAAAGTGCCTTCCCTATTTTCCTTCCTCTTCCCAGAGAATAGTACCATCAATCCAACGGGACAGGAAGGACTGAAAAGGAAAAAGTCAAAGCAACAAGCCCAAGTAGCTCATTGGGAAGATGTCTTATGGAGATATCAGAGGCTGCCATTACACACTGGAGAGAAGTTAACATACAAGGTTGTAATCTAGAAGGAAGCTTCCTGAGTAAGAGCACAGTAGCAAAAATAAGACAGAAAAGCAGTAGGATCTGCTAACACAGGTGAAGCAAGGAGATGATACTTCTTCACTTGGGACTCCACTGTCCCATCTCTTACCCTTGCCAGTGCCCACAGATTAGTCCAACACTTAATCTCCTTCACTTCTTACACAGTTCTACCTCAGCGTGGTGGGGAAGGACTCCTACCTCTGAGAGCACCATAGAAAGTGTCAGTGCTATGTGTGTCTGACCTCCTGGCTGTGCTCCAGGTTGCGATGACAGACACGGATGTGTGTGCAGAAGAGCTGGGAAAGATGCAGCTCTGCAGCAGTGTCTGTGATCTTTGATGGCTGGAAGACCTCATAGCTTTACAGAGAGATATAGCAGCCCCTGTTCTGAAGCTTCCTACAGTCAGGCCCTCTGCAAGCCTCAATCCCAGTCTATGATTAAGACCCCCACCTTTCCTACATCCCTCCATTTGTTACACCCTTCCCATTTGCTGCCATCTGTCAGCACCCTGCTCACGTAATTGTTCACTTGGAAGGAAGAATGGCAGCAGGCAATGAGCGGAGGCAGGAACTTATTCCCTGTCTGGCATTAGAAAAATCCTTTCTACCACCTCAATTTCTCTGTCTGAAATGGGGACTCTGAGACAGCTTCATGCATCCTTGAAACCCAGTTACTCAGTTCTTATAAAGTGTCAAGCATTGTACAGCTGCTAAACACCATTGCTGCAAACTCTGTAATATCCTAGGGAACAGTGTGTGAGAGCACAGTAATAAAGTTGATTAACCATTCATATAGATGTGCACATGTAAATGGTGCTACAAGGTTTTAATATACCAGAGAATAGGAAATAGAACCAATACAGATGCAGACATTTACAAAGATTTTTGTTAAGTATCTGGAAATATGGTGCTATAAGCTGCCAAAGATGGATGCAGTCTAAGCTCACAATTTGAAGTGTCTGCAGGAAATGTATGCACTTACAAAACTTCCACAAAAAAAGCCCAATTAAGAACTCAGTTTAAGTAAAATAAAAACCCCTGGTATTTCCAAGCATGAGAAAATAAATTTCATAGCTACACCCAAGCAAAAAAGAGTGGACGTCTCTCAGTCCATCAGTTATGTGCAAAACCAAGATTTCTTCTTGAAAAAAAATTCATTATCAATGTACACTGCCATCTAATCACAAAGTTAAAGCAACAGGGAGACAGAAGGATCCTCTAGCTGTCCAGTAGAGGCCAACAGCAA